GGTCGTCATTCCCCCTGTGCCGGCGGTGTCTTTGTGGGGCGGGGGTGCTTGCAGGGCCTGAGGGGAAGCGGAGCGGTGTGAGTCCCTTCAGTTCTGTCAACTTCCGTGATAAAGTGTAGAAAAATGCTCCAAGTGTAGGTATTTAGGACCAATGAACTGAGAGAAGTCCTCACAAATCATCAAATTGCAGCTCTGAAGTCTAACTTGTGCTTTTGATATCCTTACCTGCACTCAACTGGAAAGTAAGTGCTTCTTGTCCTTCCCGATCTGGCTGGAGTCACATGTACGACCTTCCCCGGCCAGGAACAGCCTGAATTCAAGCTTTGGCTGATGCTAGTCCTTGTGTCAGCGTTGCCATTTAATCTAAATCGTTTTGTGGACACGCAGCTCTAAATATCCTTTCTCTTGTCAGCTCTAGGATGGGATCCCTTTGGAAGATTGAGACACATACCTGTAGTCAGTAGAGATGCGGGTTTTGATCCAGTGGCTTAAAAGTGTTTAGTGTAAGATCACATGTGCTAGGGAGTTTGAGAAAGCAGACAGGACTGGCAGATACAATATGATCAACAGGCGATTAGTACTTTTCTGGAGTGTAGCTGGGCAGCAGAGTGGAGAAGCTGAAGTACCTTATGGCTTTAGATACCTTTAGGATACCCTGTTCTCATGTACTCAGTGGAGCAAAAAGAGCTGTCTTTTTTCTTAAATCCATGCAAACTTTTCAGCCTTTTCTAAAACTTCTTCCCTCCCTGTTTGTCCTCTGTTTTGGAGGCTACCGTCTACAGTTTTTTCTTTTCATCCTTGTTATTCCTAGCTCATTTTTAGAGAGCAACCTTAATCAAGCTATTCCATTTTTTGTATCTTCATGCCATTTTGAACAGATACCTGAATACAGTGGACAGGTGGGCGGACCCGCTCAAAGCTCATCAGTGGGCCAAGGCTATTTGTATGTTTGGCTGTATGAGAAGTAATTTGCCTGATACATGATTATGCATTTGTTTTTTTGATAGCTGCATTGCTTTGATTTCTCATGCTTACTGTGTGATTGACTTGTCCATTTTTCAAGTTGCTTCGGACTTAAGATTTCTTGATATCTAACTGTGGGCCTTGTTAGGTGTGATCTGGTTACTTAGAAATATATGTGATTTGAAGTATTGAATTTCATTATACTGGCATTACTTCTGTTATCAGGGTTATCCTTTTTTCCCTCATTAATTCCGCTTGTTTTTCTATTGATGATTCTACAGTCCCAATTTTTACTTCAGAAAACATGGAAGGCGAAGTGTAAAAGTAAAATATCTTTCCTCAAATGTATTTATGGAAACGTTTAATAGAGATTGGTGCCAAAATGAACTCTATTCTAAATAAATTTGTATTTATGAACCTCCTTGTAACCCAGTAGCTCTTGTGTCAGTGCAAACCAATGTTGCTTTCTTTCTTCTGTTTGTTTTCCATTTCCCATGCTATTTCTGATCTCCTTCTGCTAACCTAGCCTTTTCTCATGTGGCTTTGTACTTATGCCCAGCGTAACATATTTGGCTGTGAATACTTAAATGTGTTTGGAGTGCTTTATTTATTATCTTTGTCTTGATAACTTACAGATATTCCTGTCTGGTGATGAGATATCTTTATTGTGCTACCTAACTTGACAGCCAAAAATAAAGTTTGGATATTTATGTTACATTTGACAAAGTCAGAATCCAGCTCTTGAGGTTACTTCAGTTGTCTCTCTGCATGTTGTCCTTATCGCTACAGACAAAGGTACCGTCTTTCCAGCAGTTTTAGAAGCTGTAGGTAAAGTATCTTTGGCCGAGGTGTTTTTCCATATTATGTCACTAAAATCCAGCCTTCCCAGTGTTTGGGCAATCAAGACCCTCAGTATTCCTTGACTAGTCCTTGTCTAAAAGGCAGACTGTAATTAATATTACAGCTTTATCTAACTGCTTTGGGCTCCTACTATTTTTAAGGAGTAGTCCCAGTCTTCACCATCAGCTGGATTTTCTTCTTAGGCCTCTGCTGCTTTTAAGCTGGGGTAAGCGTTCCTGTTAACATCTGAAGAGCTATTATTTTGTCATTCTCATTTTTTCTTATGCCCAGCCTCTTCTCTGTTACTTGTAAATTCTAGTTTATTGGCTGTCCAGGGAGGTGATGATCTGTGACTAATCTACTTTCCTCATTTTACTCCCTTGCTACTTTTAAATATATATAAAAACCAGAACTAAAGATGTGTTTCCCCAGTTAACTAAACTATGATAATTCTTTGCTATATTGATTTGCTCATACCCTGTATGTCTTTCCCTTTTTATTTGATTTTTTTGGTATTCTGTCTGGTGTGAAAATGTCTGTATAATGCCTTACGTAGTAAAGTTCGATTTTTGATGAAGTGTTTTAAGTCTGTCATAATTATACCATTATCCTGAGCTAGAAGGTCTGTTCAGATTTTATTTCAATTCCTGTTCATTTTCTTTCTTTATGTATGTAACAGCAAATGATAATTGAAATGTTTTATTTTCCAGATCACTTTATTTCTTGTCTCTGCACCTCAAGTAGGACATGCATGTTTAGGTGACTAACTACAGGAACGTCAAAATGCCTAATCTCGAACATCCAGTGTACCCAGCAGCTACACTGCTTCACTTGGAAAGTTTGGTGCCTTGTCGAGAATCCCAAGTGTCTGTGTTGCTGTCAATATTTGGAGAGGTAGTGCTTCTAATATAGTGCATTTGAATAGAACAAATACGTTCTGCTCTCTCAGAGGGGAGAGCAGAAATTTAAGGGTATTTTTGCAATTATGAACATACTTTGGGTGTCTCTTTGTTGTTTGAGGTGCTTTTGGTTTTGTGTGGGGTGTTTGTGGGTTTTTTTTTTTTTTTTTGTGGTTACCCTTCTTTAACATTAGTGTTTGGCAGATAGATTCTAGTAAGTTTAAAGGTTGAAAGCTGTTTTGCAGCTGGAAGTACCCAAACAAACTTACAGCTATTTATGCCTTGCTGTCTCTGAAGCCTGATTTCTCTGTGACTCTGTTCCATCTTTGCCAGTTAGTACAAGAAAGCATCTGTCTTCTTCCCTGGTCTAAAGTTCTGGGGTATTTTTTTTTTCAGTGGCAGTGTAGAAATTCTGTTTGGTTTTGACCTGTTAATCTACTATCTGCATGCCGGAAGTCTAAGTACATGAAATTGGTCTGATTCTTAGTAGTTCTGTTGCTGGCTATAAGACTTGGAAATCACTGGCTTGTTAATTGATTCTGTTACTGCTTGGCAAAGCTGTGGTAAAAAGTAACAGATTTTTATCTGCAAACTTAAAAGGAGTTGATATATCCATTTACATTCAGTTAACAAAGTGGGAATTAGTATCTGTTTCTGGTTCTACCTTTAATTATAGATAACAATTACATCAAATTACAGCATTTAATTTTTATGTATTTATTACAAGCATAGTGGCAACAAGTTGTCTTAAAAAAATAGATGCTTAAATTCTTGTTAAATATGCAGGTTGGAGTATCCATGTATCTTGCACAAGATTATGGATCTTGCATTAATTGAATATTTTCTTTTCATAAAAAGTGTCAAATTTATTTTTGTATTAATTTTTTAAGTCGGTGCACAAGATTCTTCGAAATGAGGAAAACACAAAATCCATGGAATATACAGCATCAGCACCATTAAATAAATAGAGGTTTTGTGTCAAATATTGCCTTGTGAAAGAAGAGCGAGCTCCTTTGCCATCTCCTCTACAAAACCATTTAGTTCTTTTCTGTTTGGTGCTAATGGAAAGAAAAACAATTTGTAGTGTTTGCAGAAGTTAGGACAATGTAAAGCTTGCAGTTTGTGCTTGCCGAGATTTTGTTTCGGTTAGTTAACTAATTTGAATTAAAAGCCCACTGCTTTTCTCTTTTGGTGTGTGTTTTTGTTGTTTGCTTGTTTTGTGGGGTTTTTTTTGTTGTTGTTTGGTTTGGTTTGTTTTTCCTATGAAAAATGTGTCCTCATGTTATAGCAGTTTCTCTAGTAGCTTTATGTGATTCTTGGGACTTTATCCTCCCAGCGTTTCAGTGAAGATGAAAAATAAAACTTGATCGTGCTGATTCTATAATAATTTGCATATTTTATATTTAACGTCTCAATTTAAAAGATAACTTTTCTTTTGGAGGGAAACTTAATTGATAAATGTTATCTGTTGAATGAAAAAGAAAAATTGAAATGGCTTCAAGCTTTTTTTCCCTCCCTAGCGTCAACAGTTTAGTTTTCCATCCATCTTTATCTACGGACATACATCTAGTGGAAAGACTTACGTGATGCAAACACTTCTGAACACCTTACAGGTAAGAATGTTTATAGTGGATATTGAATTTAGAATTTATTTGTAACAGATGGTCCCTCAAACTAGCTTCTACTTTCTCAGAATGGTTTGTTTCCTCAGCCGTTTCTGCCTTCTTGATTCTTCTCCTCCACTTCTGTGTGATGAATGCATCACTCTTCTCACTAGTGCACTTAGGATAAAATGAAGTCATACATACTGAGATGTAATATAAAACATAAAAACTTTTCTAAGAAAGCTTAAAAAAGAAAAGAGGAGCCAAATTTTGTTCAGCTCGTTCCCTTGACTTAACCTGAAATAGCTCCAGTGAAAAATACTCTTAGGATGATTCCAGTTCAATCTGAGAGACACTTATACTGTTCCTTTTTTGAATCTTCTTGTAAATCTCTTTTAAAATAATTTTACTTGTGTATGAAAAGAGTGAGAGAATATATGAAGAACAGTGAGAAGAGTTTGCAGTAGTGGAATTTTGTTTTATTTGTTTTGTGTTAACAAAGTCATTTTAATTAAATTCAGTTGGATGTGTATGATCTATTCAAATGTCAGCCTAAGAGCTTAAACTTAGTAAAGTTGTTAAAAGTATTCAAAGCAAACATACAAGCTATACATGTTTGCTGGGGAAAAAAAAAGTGAGTCCGAAATGGTGAAAATCACTGGCTGAATACCAGGCAACTGCCATTCTTTCTGATACCAATGGTCATTCTTGCAGACTGGAGGTGAATGTTATATTCATTGCAGTAAATTTCATTAGTTCCCATCAGCCCTCTTATAGAAGCAGGAAAATCTGAAACTTTGAAAGAGAAACAGTGCAGGAGTTCTAAAATGTTGGAGCAGTGTTGCATAGGAACAATTGGGTTAATTCCTGAACACTAAACGATCATTCTTTTGCTTAATGAAATGGGAAATGTGTACTGATATGCCTCTTTAATTTTATTTTTTTCAGAACCTGTTTGAAAATACAAATTTTGTGCACTTTAATTTATTCTAGATCCCCCAAACACAGCCTGACATGCATCATAAGTTAAAAACCCTAAGAAACAGCATGCCATTCACAGTTTCTAATGTAACAAAATCAATTCTCCAGGTGTGTTTGTGTTCACTAAGCTTGGTGTTGCCAGGTTTTTTGCTGGTGGGATGGATCTTATTCTCCCGTGCCAGTACTGTTGCTGTTCCCTGGTGAAGGGTCAGGAGCACATATGAGGAGTGGCTGAGGGAACTGGGGTTGTTTAGCCTAGAATAAAGGAGACTGAGGGGAGACCTTATTGCCCTCTACAGCTGCCTGACAGGAGGTTGTCGATCTCTTCTTCCAGGTAATGGGTGATAGGACAAGAGAAAATGGCCTCAAGTTGCACCAGGGGAGGTTTAGGTTGGACATCAGGAAAAATTTCTTCACCAAAAGGGTTGTCAAGCATTGGAACAGGCTGCTCAGGGAAGTGTTTGAGTACCTATCCCTGGAGGTATTTAAAAGCCAGGTAGATGAGGTGCTTAGGGACATGGTTTAGTGGTGGGATGGCAGGGTTAGGTTAACGGTTGGACTTGATGATCTTGGTCTTCTCCAACCTAAACGATTCTATGATTCCTCCTGTATGAGTATCAATTTCAGAAACGTTAGGACTGTATGTTCTTTTTCAGCTTCGCCATCTGACATAAACTTCCTTTGGATTCCTGCTTTTAGAAAACAGTGTAGGAATAAGTAAGAAGTAGGTCTCTTCCCCTCATTTGTTAAGGAAGAAAACTACTTTATGCTGTTCACTGGGGTTGAGTTATATCTTTGATGATTAGTACTGGAGTTGCTATATATTACTAGCCTGAAGTAGGAACTTCTGTCATGAACACAGAGAGAAACCTACTCTTTAAACATCATGTGAGAATCTGATCTACATAAAGTAGTGGGTCATTGTGGCTGAATGCATGTTTCTTACAAAACCAGTTATCTTCAAGAATGATGTAGAGAGGTATGGCCTCAAGTCCATTTCAGTCCCTTTCTGGTCTGTCCTGGCAGAAGACTTTTAAGCATTAGGTTCTTGCCACTTTGTGTCCCTTCTTTTTCTATTAGCAAATGTGTATATTCCTTGTTCCAATTTTTCCCAAAACATGTTTTAAAGTCCTCTTAAGTTGAAGGGTGTCGTCACAGAGATTTCCATCTAAACCTGTTAATGCCTATGTTTTTTTCAGTCACGTACTTCAGGGATTTAAATCCAATGACAGGTGCCTACTTCACACCTAAACCATAAATTTCCACTTGTGTGTTCTCATACACCTGATACTTTTGGCTTGTCCAGATTGCATTTACCACGAATCTGTAGGACTGGGTTTTATGCAAAAATCTCCTTCATTAAAAATTGTGCAGAAGGAGAAGGGTGGAAGATAGTGGTCACGATCCTCTTTCATGCAGTAACCTTTTGTGTAATGCTCCTAATGCTGTGCTACCCACTTGCGACATATCCAGAGATGCAGCCAGACCCTGGAAAGGAATAGGATTTAAGCAGCAACTGTTTCTACAGGATTTCCTATTGCCAAGTATAGGTGTCTCCTACGTAATGTGGTGTGAATTGCATCTCAGGCACCCAGCTTTCCTTCTGCTACAGAGGTGCATCACTTTGAATAGGTGCTTTTGGAGATGCAGCCCCTTTCTTTTAATAGTGTTCAAAATCATAAGAAAGCTTTTTATTACACACTGTTTGAGTGGATTGCCAGCATATACCCACACTTTCCCACATATGCTGAATCATATGCCATATATTGTATTTTAAGTAAAAAGACTGGAATGAAGTGCTTAGATTTTGTTGTTGTTGTTGTTAGACACACACATTCCTGTATCAGAAGTTTAATTTTGCAAGTAATGCATATGTATCCCAATGACTAATGTTTTCCAGAGGTTTTAATGTTCAGTGTAAAAAAAGAGCATATGCCTTACCAGAAAGTATGGAGCTATGCAAATAATCTATTTCTTAAAAATAGAGTTGCTAGAGAATTATCTTTTTTGCCTTATGGAGTTTTGAATGCTGGTACTATTTTGTAGTCTATAGTGTCTTCTATTTATAGGCAAATGACCGTAACTTTTCGATATTACTAAATTGGTACTTAGATTTTGTGGATTGCCATAAAATGTATCTCATAGTCTGATTTTTTCACATGTTCTTTTCCCTGAAAAGATCTGTTTTTGTAAAAATGTTTTGCACAAGCAGGCTGATTACACATGTCAGATATAGAGGCTTACACTTTGTAATTTGTATGCAGTGAATGCCAAAAACATTCAGAGTAATTTTGGGGAGTGTGCTCCCAAATTACTTTCTTTGTAATATAAGTTTGAGAACTTTGTGTTGTTTAGACACTGTAATGGACTATTGTACAGTACTATAATGTGTTATGATTGTCTAACTTTTCTTTGAACTAAATGCTATTTGGTTTTCTTTTGGTGCATTGCTCACAATTTTTAAACGTAGTTAGAAAATACACTGTATTTCGTTTTTTAAACATAATTAGAAAATACACTGTGTTTTGTATGAGGACTCATCTTCACTTTGATATATAATATTTTGACTAGGTTCATACGCAATCATTCTTTTTTGGCAACGTTTTTTGGTTTATGCTCCATATTCTGTTGGCAAAGTGTGGTTTCTTTCATTGTCTCATCTGGAAGAGAAAACTGATTCTGGAGTATTTACACTGAAAAAGCCAAATAAAGTTGTATCTTTTTTTTTTATCCTTTTCAGCTTCCTCATGTGTTTGTGAACTGTGTGGAGTACTTTACTTCACGACTTCTTTTAGAAGAAATTCTTGTCCAGTTGCAAAGCTGTTCTTCTGAGACAGAACAGACTTCTCGTGTTAGAAGAAATTCTTGTCCAGTTGCAAAGCTGTTCTGAGACAGAACAGACTTCTCGTGTGCCCTGTGATAATTTCAATGACTTTGTACGTCTGTTCAAACAAGCTGTCGTGAGTCGGGAGCTTCAAGATCAAACATTATACATTGTAAGTGTATTTTAATGTTCCAGTTTAATTTCTGTTAAGAGGCTGTGAGTAATTGTTGTTGATAATTCATATGTGAAATGTGTGCAATATAGAGCAATTTTCAAAACATTTCCTTGTGCACCTCATTCAAAATCTGTTGACAGTGGTTAGATTCTTTCTTTTGGTTTACTGCCTTTAGGTGAGATTCTGTATTTTTCCTGGCTTCAGAAATTTTTCTACACAAAAACTGTATAGCATAACAAGTAATGAACATAAATTATACTGCATATTTAAATTGAGTATGTGGTAGTATTACAAAATCTTTAAATGTAGAGAGCCTGCATTTCTTTTATAATTAGTAAGTCTTGCTTAGCTGTTTACTTGTGAAGATTGCTTCACAACTAAGAAAGCAAAGGTGAGAAGCGGGGCAGAAGCAAATTATGGAGCACACAAATGACAAGAATTGGTTGGCTCGAGTAGGTTCAAGTTAGAAGTTGTATTAAGGAACTAAAATGCATGATTTCCTCTGTAGAAGTGCTGCTGAGATCTTACATCTTAAACTATACTTGTGGCCCTCCGAGACAAGAACTGTAGTATTAAAGTTAATATGGAAAAAAAAATTGCAGTGAAAAATTTGATGATATACTCAAGTAGACCAGGCAGACCACAGGAAAAATAATCAGAGTTTAGATGACAAGAATGATTGAATCAATGTAGTACTAGAACTACGGTTTGGGGGGTTTTTTTTGTTTGTTTGTTTTTTCTTCCCTGTGATAATCTTAACTACATAAAGGAGACAAAATTTGCAGACATCTGTCACAGCATTTATTGTGCCGAGAGATGAACATAGAAACAAACTTCTCAAAACTACTTTTTTTTTTCTAGCTTTCATTTGGTTGAACAAAATCTGTTATCTTAAATCTGTGAGTGCCATAGTATTAGTGATGTGTAACTGTATATATGCATTGTGGACCTGCAAAAGATGTGGACTGAAGTTTCAGCCCAGCAGTAGGAATTCAGGGTTTCTTTAAAAGAGATGAAATTGATTATTTAAGAAAACATGAAAGTGGTTCAAGATTGAAAGCTTAATGACTCTGGGTAATCACTCTGCATGTCTCTTTCAGCAGTCAGCCGGCATACTGCTTTGGGTTTTTTCCAGTCAAACAAGAAGTTCATAATTACACTGAACATTCTTCATTCTGTTTCACAGGTTATAGTTAAATTAGTTTCATTTCCATTTAAAAATACTTAACCACTGAGTTAAATAACTTCATATTATGTTTAGTGAAAACAGTACTATCTCATAGTTTCCTATAGCTCATGAGGTTAATAAATTTGACATTATTCTTAAAAATTGAATGAAGAAAAAATGCACCAGTACTTAAAATAGATAAGAAGTTATACATAGATAATTCATTCCTTCAACAATTCTGTAAGAACAAAATGTAGCACTAAAATAACTGTTAGGGTATTTCACAAAATACTTTATATAGTAAAATTTTACTTTCAGATTAACATTTGGATTAAAAAACTGTTCTATGTCAGTAAAGAATGCTTCATGTGTTATATGGAAATTAGTATCCCTCAAAAAATTAGAAAGTTCTTGAACAATGGTTATAGAAAGCAAACCACTGAATACCTAGAAAGGTTCACTTGTATCACATAAATAGTTGCTGAATCAGAAGAATTAAGTATTAAATTAGTATTTCAGTTCCGTTCTGCATGGGAACAGACAGGAATAGGGGAAATCAATTCATGTATATTAACCTGTGTCATCTGGATTTACTGTAGAGTGGTTTAAATTGAGACTGATGGAAGACCAGCATGCTGGTAACATAAACTGAAATTCTATTCATTTTGGTAGTAAATAATGTAATATTTCAGCCCAATTAACTCAAAGCAAATTAAGACAAATGTTTACTTTCAAGCAAAGGAGTCTAAATATTTCTCTTAACCCAAGCATGGGTATTGAATCCTTGTGGTTCCTTATGAAAAATGAATTTATTCACTTTAACTACCTGCAAAATTGGAGCAGATATAACTTGTAGTTGTTCATACCTTTACAATATTTAGCACTTTACAGAAGTAACAAGCTGTGGTTTTTAATGTAAGTCAGCAGACAGTTCTAAAATGTATAGTTTTTAAAAAAAGCTGAAGGGTGACAAATCTATATTAAAACAAAAGAATAAGGCGTTGATTTATAGGCCTGTGAGTGTCTGTTTCTGTGAACCACCTGACGTATTCCACAAGCCAGGGTCACAGTATACTTGATCTGCTGTAAATAGAAATTCTGGTTTGTTTCCCACTTAACTGAAAAGGAAAATCTACTTAGGTCAAGACCTTAAAGCTTTGTGTTCCGTAGCTGCGTGCCACTGGGTCCAATAAGCGCTATTTTATTAGTAAAAAAATATGTAGCCTCTGTTTGGTCAGTAATGTAAAGCAGTCTTCATTCCTGGTTATTTATTACATGAACCAAATGCAGATGTCAATATAAAATCATGTTTAAATACAGCTTTAAATAAACTCCCAAGAAGTGTGAGCTGTTACTGCAGAGATACTGCTCTTTCAGGTTTTTTTCCTTGATGGTATGATTTTTTTTTAAATACAATTTTCATAAAATGTTTCTTGGTTGTCCACATAAAACTCTTTTTTGTACTGTGAGCAACAGAAATGGTAGATGTCAATATTTTGGTGTGGGGAGGAAATGTAAAAGGATAAAGAAATAGAATTTTCTAGGGACCTATAGTTTCTAGGCTGCAAACTATGGCAAGAGAAGTTTCTCTCAAAATTTGTTTGTGTGAATTCCAGATGATAGCCAACGTTTTAGAAATATCAGCTCTTACTTGTTTCTGAAAAATAACCTCATAGTGGGAAAAAGATAGCTCTCCTACAGTAAGCATGTTGATATAGTGCTGCAGTACTGTACATAATTTTTAAATATAAGAATATTTTTGGACAAAAAATGAGGTTTCAATGGTTATTTATTGATATCATGGCTTTGTCAGTGATATTCTTGACTGGTACACTTACTTTTTAATTCTTATTGCCATAAGGCATGAGACTATTGCTTGCCTGGGGATTGTATCTTTTGTTAGATGGCAGAGCTGCTTGGGCTTCAGGAAGCACACCTGAAGCAACAATCTCTCCAATGTTGCTTGTTTAAGGGGTCTTGATACTTAGGTGGTTTCTGTGTCTAAGAGCCATCCGTGAAGCGAGTTTCGAGCAGCTAAGAATTAATCTTAAGTCCACGTGAGAATGGAAGTTGACATTGTCTATGTAATATTTTGTTAAAAGGTACTGGATAGAGCAGAGCAGCTGAGAGAAATGGAAGCAAACATCCTGCCAGCATTTCTTAGGCTTCAAGAGTTGGTAAGTGTCTGGAACAAAATTAACGTGCATGTCCTGCATATTGAAAGTAACTGAACGTGTGGTGCCTGTCCATCCGGGCTCACAGATCAAAATAATCAACTGGCAGTGGTCAAAAGTAGAAACCAAACCAGAATTTAAACATTGGCGAGTTTTTCTTACACTCTTAATTTTTTTTTAAATTCTGTTTAATAATATCTTGATTTAGGATATCTGATCTGTTGTAGATTTTCTTGAGGCTGGTGTCAGATACATAGCTGTCTTTTCTAGAATACTATTTTTAAGAAGAATGTGAAATTCTTCTACTCTTCATTTAAAGTTTTGTAATAATTGCAGAAAAAAAATCTATGGCAGACTATAATCTATAAGGAGAAGCTTCAACATAGCTCTGATTAGCTTTGTACAAATAAATAAAACCCCTTTTAGATGGTGTCAGATGTTTGTGTGGGAATCCAAAATCTGCTTCTGAGTCAGCTGCTGATTCAGAAGAGCCCAACCGCATGAGTGAATTCAGTATTGGAAGCATGAATTTGCAACTCAGGAAACATTTGTTTTCCTCAGGTTTCTCCCATGTGAAACTTCACAGCATCACATGGTGGCTGGCTTGAGGATGGTCAGTAGACCACCAACTATTTAATTGTGACTGGAGCTGTACAGCTCAGCAGCTGCGAATGTGCTTTATGATGGCAGAGAGTTTTTACACTTCTACTGGAATTGCACCACAATATGTTTCTGATTGGAGTAAACCACTGCATCTTTCCCTCTCTCACTTCTGAAGTATTAAAGCTTATGCCTTGGAATAAGGAAAAATGGTGCATTCTCTGAAAAAAAAAAAGAAGACAAAACTAGAAGATGGTGGTACTTTGAAATGTCTGAACATCTAAATAGCTGAAATTATACTTCTTATCTCAAAGACTTTTGTGTGGTACTCTTAATCTTCTGGCGACATTGATTTCTCTACTTACTGAATGAAGACTGATTCACAGCTGTGTTCTTAATCCTGGCAGCTGGTGCATTTTCTCTTTCTGTCTGTTCTGCCCATGTTCTGGATTTTGCTACCCCTGAAGCAGAAACAACCTGTCTGACGGAGAGAAAGAAGGAAAACTTAGGCGAATTACTGCTGTTCAGGGACCAAAAAACCCATAGGCTAAGACTTAAATATGCTAGAGAAATGTCCTTAAATTAAAAAGTAACCTCCAAATAAGTTTGTCGGCTTTCTTGAATGCTGAGATTCCAGTAGCTTAAATTCTGGCTTCTGGTCTGAGGCTTTGTAAAGCTGTTGTGCAGCTGATGTTGCAGTGGAACGTTGTAGGAGCAAATCTACTGCATCACTTCCTTTCCTGGACTAAAAGGAGACAAGAAACTTCATAAGTGGTGAAAGATTTCATGGGACTCAGGGATCGTTGGGAAGAGTGGGTCATAGGATGCCTGATTTCTGTGAGGATTATGGTGGCAAGTACTTAAATTTTTCATATTGGAAGGTCTGTCAGGAACCTAACTGAAAATACCTTATTACTTTCCTCAGCTAAACCACTAGGAAATCTGGGAGAAGAACACAATTGAAAGAGTTCTGTAGAAAGATGCTCTCTTGTTAAAAGGAACAAAAAGGTTCTATAAAAATAGAGAAAGAAGAAACAGTGAAGGATATGGATGGGTGCCACTTTGGCAGGAAGTGGGAAGAGTAAGTAAAAGTTTCTCCCTGAATTTCAGGGAAGGGGAATACCATTTAAACTTCCCTTTCAAGTAATTCACAGCTCATATTAAGCACTGTCAATTCAATCAGGTTACTTCCTTTTATTTTCTTGAGGTGCCTCAATAGTTTTGAAATGTCTTTCTTGAAGAACCATATTTGAAAGCATCTTCTGTTATGCAGAATTTTTAGTATGGTTGTGAAAACCTTGCAAAAAGGAAGAATGAAGCATCATCTTCACAGCTAGTTAGCTTAATATTAAAAAGCTGATATATGGAAGGGTGACCAAAATAAGGAATTGGTTTTTTTTTAGTATGAAGTGTTTTGTTATCTATTGACCAAAGCATCAAATGCAAGGCAAGTATATTGTCAATAAAAACTTGGTTAAAAATAATATGTTACTATGTACAGCCATTGTTGGTAACTAGTAAAACAGTTGGTGGAGTACACAGTTAATGCTGTGGTTTTGATTCATGATGTTTTTTGTTTGTTTTTTAAAGACCAGCTTTTTTTTTTCCTTCCCTGTGTAGACTGACAGAAATGTGACAGTTATCCTGCTCAGTGAAATAGTATGGGAGCTGTTCCGTCCAAATACTGGATGCTTTGAGCCATTCATCTTATATTTTCCCGATTACAGCATAGGTAAACTAATTCTTTAATCTGCTTTTCAGGGATTGGATAATAACTTTGTCAAACAACATCCAAATGTTTTTTCTGCGTTTATTACTATGCCTTTTATAGAATCCGGAGTATGTAACAGCTACTGGAATGTAAAAGTCTATATTCACACAACCTCTAAAAGACTTGTCTTTTTCCAACTGCCAAAACATATCAAAGTAACATTTTGGTTCCGTTATATTTCCTGGTTCTTTTAATCAGTGTAATTTTTGTTGGGTTTTGGAGTTTTAAGTGATGATTATAGCTTGTTTTTCCACTTGTAAAATGTGGTGAATTTATTAAGTTAGCTTTAAATAACCAAAACTTACTTTTGTTTAAACAGGACACCTGCAGAAGATCTTGTGTCAGAATCATCCCCCAGAATATTCTGCAGATTTCTATGCTGCATATATCAATATTCTGCTTGGTGTCTTCTACATGGTCTGTAGGGACCTGAAAGAACTTCAGCATCTGGTGAGATGAGCTCTTTTAGAGTTGTTTTGGGGTGTTTTTTGCCAAATAAGCTCTGAACATCTGGATTTATTGTTGAGTATGGACAAAGAGAAAGTCATAGAATGATAGAATTGTTTGGGTTGGGAGGGGCCTTTAAAGGTCATCTCGTCCAACCTCCCTGCAGTGAGCAGGGACATCTTCAACTGGATCAGACTGCTCAGAGCCCTGCCCAACCTGGTCTTGAATGTTTCCAGGGATGGGACATCTACCACCTCTCTGGGCAACCTGTTCCAGTGCTTCACCACCCCCATTGTAAATAATTTCTTCCTTATCTAGTCTAAATCTACCCTCTTAAGAATGTGTTAGCGCAAAATGCAATTTCCCTAAAAATCCATAACAAAAGTTGCAATTGTTTTGGTGCTGTAAAGGGTTTCCATTGCCACGTAGTTTTCTGGTCAGAGACAACAAAAGCTGCACTAATGAGATGCCAGTCTGCATGTTGTTCACCCAGCCTAGAAATTCTGTGGGGGTTTTTGAATTCAAGCCATTCCTTGATATCAGAGAGTGACAAAGAATACTACGCTACCTATTTTCACCTGTTGGGATAAGGAGATAAATGTAATGAAACCTTTTGTGCCTGCTGATAGGTATAGTAGAAGCAATTGCTGCAGCTGCAGCAGTTTTTGAGGGACAACTTCATTACAGACTTGGTCAATGATTTTTTTTTTTTTTTTTTAAATTTTTTTTTATTTGCAATTCAGTCAGAAGAAGTAAGAGTTACGATTTTACTCTTTCAAGCAATGGTAGGCCTCACTGTGCTTCGTTTCTCTTCAAGTTCTTTTTACATGTGGTTATGTGGCCTTCCTCTTATTGCCACCTTCTTGCTCACCTGGACTCCTGTAATCCCTAAGTAGTTTTCTGTTGTATTAGTTTCCTGGACTGCGCAGTGGAATGCCAGACAGTTGCTTTCAGCATTTGAAGGAAGAACTTCAGTTAGGTGGTCCTACAACTTCTATTGCTTCCTGTGTTTATAAAATGTAACTTGCCACCCAACATTCCTTATACTTCAACTTCATAGGAAATTTAACTTATAATGTGAAACATTTTTCCTATATTATTTAGGAGTGTAAAATTTTCACTTGATTTGCCTCCTGCAGAAGATTTTAAGGTAACCAAGCTGCTACAAGCCAAATCTGTTGCACAGTTTTACAGAAACATAGCATATTAATTTGACTTAAAGGCCTAGAGAAGCGAGGATTGACATAAATGTTTTATTGTCTTTCTTTTGGAATTAAAAATAAAATAGATAAGTCAAAGTTCCTGCAATATAGTTATGCTTGAGGGAACAAAAACACTTTGAATATATTTGGAAAAAGGAGTTTTAACCATATATCAATTGAAGAATGTAATAGCAAACAAACTAACAGAAAAAATAAAAATTACTTGACCGTGACCTTTGCATGAGAAAAGTTGAGTAGCAATAACAATTACTAGCTCATCAGAATGTTCTACCTGCATTTCCATCAGGAAAACTTAGATAAATTTCAGCTGAACCTACCCGGTAACTATACAGGTTTTTATATTTAAATCAGATTGCTGAAATCTATTGGAGACACAAATAGAAACTAGGGTCACAGTTCTTCTAGACATGTGCTTTGAGTTGCCCTGCTTATCAGAATAATTTCTTTAGCTTTAGAGGCATTCTTGGTGTATGTGTGAAATACCAACATTTTGAAAGGATTTACGTAATTGGACCCTATATTCTTTTTGTGCTTGACGAGTCTCTTCTGTAGGAGGTAATGACAGACACATGCAGCTGTGTCTGTGGGCTTCTGAACAGCTCCATAGTGTCTAATATAGACTCTCATGTATATGATATTATGCATGATTATTAATAAACACATTCTGGAATTACATTAGATTTATGTGTGGAAGTTATTGCATTGAGTTCTGTATACTAGCACAGAGATTTAATAAGGTCAAGTAGGACGAAAGGAGAATGAAATGTGAGGATTGTTATTTTACAAAATTATGTGCGATACTAATTTAAGCATTTTAGAAAAAAAATCTAGATTACAACCTTGTCAAAAATCTCTCAATCTTACCGTAGGCAAAAGGTTCGTTTGAATGTGGAATGTGTTAGCAGGGTTGGGGGGGGGGGGGGGGGGTTGTTGGTTTTGGTTTTTTTAAATAATTTCTGCTTGTATGTGTCTAAGTATGTGTGGCCTATTTTTGAACATGCTGAGCTGCTCCTGGAATTACAAGTTTTATCTGAAAATGAAGGGAGTGAAAAAAGTTGATGAAAACATTTTTATTGCATTTATGATGTTCAATTACTATGTTATTTTAAAAAAATGCAACCAGATTTTGCTGAGATCAAAACCAAATAACCTGCAATAGATTAATTCTGTTTGTGTTTTAATCTATAGAAATGTTGTGATGTTTTACAGTATAATGTTTGGAAGCAAGCGGCATAATTATTGACTGAAAAATAATTAATTGGTTTTGCAAAGTGGTGAATTATGCTGCTTGTTATATTCTGTAGCTAGATCAAATATATAATACCTTTTTAATATATTGTACTTTTTACTTTTTGTAGGCAGTGCTCAATTTTTCTAAATACTGTGAGCCAGTGGTCAGGGGAGAAGGTAAGCTTCTGTCTTTAATTTGGGCAGATGTATGAGAGTGCAGATGCCCTCCTGTCGGTTTTGGAGAGGACTTGACCATTCCTGTGGTCACAACAGCCTTGCTGTTGCATCCAGTAGGCAGCATTTGCAGCAGAAGCAGTAGATGGCATTTCTTGGTGGTGTTTTATGGAAATGAGATGTCAATATGGTGAAAACTTGCTTCCCCCATAAGTCCTTCTCCTCACTCAACTACCAGGACTTCTGCAAAGTAGTGACGAGAAGTCATTTCTCTGTCAAGGCTAAGAGGAGAAAATGAGAGCAGATGTTCCGCCAAACTGTCCCAGAGCATCTCAGAATAAACCACAGAGAAACAGCCTTGCCTGGTAGCATGTGCTTGCAAATTGATGATGGTGGTGCATCATCCTAATACAGCATTTCAGAGTCAGGGTGCTAGCCTTATTGTGTCATGCCTGTCACTGTTCATGTGTCAGAGATAAAGAGTTTTAGTGTTGTGTGAGTTAAATGCTTAAGAGTTGATTCTGGCTTTGTGCAGCAAATGAACGTGACACTCGCAAACTCTGGAAAAATATCGAACCTCATTTGAAGAAGGCAATGCAGACTGTTTATCTCCGGGAAATATCCAGGTAATCTGGGAGGCAAGGGCTTGTTTGCTTTGTTGAGGTTGCTGTTCTTAACAGGCTTCCTCTCTTAATATTTACTCTCTCAGTTATGTTTCATGGCTAGTGTTTCTTTTTTGCTAGATAGAATCTTTTTTCTTTAATGTGTATTTTTTTTCTTGCCCTATTTCTAACATTGTATGGCATCTCAGGAGGAAATTTGTAAAGAAAATGGTATTTGTAGCATATAAAATGATTAATAAGTAAAACAGTGGCAGCAGGTGGTGTTCTCTTCTTCACGGATGGTCACACAGATAGATCCATTTTCTCTCACTTATGAAACTGCCAAGCATGGGAATCCATCACCAGGTGCAGTTTAAAACACACTTGTGAAGTTGACTTGGCAGGTCCTCACTGTACCGTGGATATATGCAAGCCTCAAAATTCTTACGAGATGTTACAGATTTTGAACATCTGTGTTCCTTAGCTTTGTTTAGTAGAGCTAGGATTGTACATTCACTGTGCTTTCTGAAGCCCTTATTTTCTTGTCCAAGGCTAAAATTTTCCTTAGATGTAGTTACCATTTTTGACAGCATTAAAAGCTGGTGTCCTGCTAGTGGGCTGAGTTTCTCTTGGTATGGTTTTAGATTCCTTGTTTATTTCTTAAGTTGCCAGACTGCTAGAAAAAAAATGGTGGTGTTCATTTTTAATGGTAATAGTCAGCTTTAATGTCTTCTCCATCTTTAAGATGAGCGATTCTGATGTTACGCCATGTAAAGAGAGATAATTCAGTAGTGTTTGATTTCTTTATCTTGATACAAAACATTTTTTTCCTTTGAATGTCATTGAAGCCATAGAGAATTCTGGTAACTGAACCTGGGTGTGTAGTAGAAGTTTTTACTAAATGTTTTGGAAAAGGGATCGTTCCTTCAGGAAGAGAATTGATTTTACTCCTTATGAGCTAAACTTCACTGTACAGTGAGGCATTATTCTATTTGCATCAAATATGCATTTATACTCAATATTGATCTTCATTACACAGCCTACTCAGGTTCTTCCTGACCTTTTATATTGTGTAATTGCCTACTCTAATTAGGGTGTAATATAAGATTATGATATAAAATAGCTTATGAATTGTTTCCAAATAGCTATATTTCCCTCTTCACAGTTTTCTGGGCTTTTCTTCAAGTTGTAAGTTATAGGAATAGAACTTTGCTATCAGCTGTTGTGCTACCTGAACTGAGATGAAAATGAAACTTTTTTTTCTACCTGTAAAATAAGCATTGGATAAAAACTTTGCTTATTGATAATTTGGTTGATTATTAATTATAATTTGAGTATTACATTAGCTCTCTTTAAACTGTGTTCATAAGTTTTGTGGCTTATGGCTGATAAACCCTTCTCATAAAGATCTTTAAAAAAACAAAACAAAAAGGCACTGGTGTTTTAGGAAACATGGGTTTTTTTATCCCCTTGTAGTATAAAAAATGGTCGAAAATCAAGACATCTCTAACTATGTTGTTCCTTAAGGGAAGTTTTAAGGGGAAAGTTTTTGCTATTGCTTAGGAAAACACGAGACTACTTAGACATTTTTCACGGGCAAGATGTTCCGTCTTGATGTCTTTAAAGTTTTTCAGTGAAGAATGAACATTGCTGTGTTTTTTATGTAGATTTCAAAATTACATTATGAAGTAATTATAGTTCTGTTCTCAATCACGTAAACTGTTATTAAGCAGATTTAAAAAAGCCCAAATCTATCAGTGTTTTTACTTTTTATCCAATTCTGCATTGTTCTTGAAACTGAGAACAGTATTGATATTTGTTTACTGGTGGTAGTTAGATGGAAAGAAATTGGTATTTTACAATTTGCTTGTGCTCACTTTTATACCTTAATATAACGTTACTTTCTGCAGTTTTTCCAAATACGTGTAGTCTGCACATTGTTGAAACTTGATGTGCATGGTAGTAAGACTTGGTATTTTTAATTATTCTCTTATTAACCATATCCTAGCCAGTGTCATGAAATTAAAAATATACGTATGCCAAACAGGTAGTTTTCTCTAAAAGACTAGCTAATGCTTCATCTTTATATGTTTGCATTATCTGTTGCTTAGCTCACAGTGGGAGCGCTTACAGCATGACGACGGCGAACCTGGGCAGTTAAAAGGTATCGGATACAGTGACCGTGCAGGGGCTTGTAATGCGAAATGTGTACTTTTCAGTTTGACTTGGTTGTTATTATCTGAAAACATGTAAACGAAATTACATAGATGAGGCTACCTATTAGCATTCAGTTACAGTTCACGGTAATCATGTTTTTTGAGAAGGTGTTCACAGAGGACTGTTACTATTTCTTCCCCTATCATATATGCTGGATAAAAGCAGATTTCTGTAAATCAGTATTTCTTATGTAAGACTGGATGAGGAATGGGCTGACCTCTGATAGTCAAACCTCTGTGTGCCCAGAATTGGGCAGAACTGGCAGAATTGTCCGAGCGGAGAAAAGGGTATATTATACCCGGTGTATCACACTGGATTAGTACATTCCTAAACAAAACAGCTGTCCTGTGTCCTGATTGCTTGGCAAAAAGAAGTGTCAGAATCGCAAGAATTCTTTCTGTTCTTCCCTTGGAAGAGTACAGCTTTGTTGATTTTCTACTTTTAGACAGGCTTGCAAGTCGAATCTCAATATATCCGTCAGCCTTCATTTACAATCTAGGAAGGTATACTAAAACATTTTCCTGCTGGTGACAGGCAGTCATGGTCGTCTGACGAGTTCGTAGTTAGGGGAGCACTTTTTCTGTATTATTTATCATGACAAATATTTTCTTCTTTAGATAGTAGGCAAAATAGCCACTTATTTTAAAATTGTCCAAAGATAATTGCTATCATCAAACTGTTTCCTATATTTCCTTTATGATCAGAAATTTTTTTACATTGTTGACCAAAGGAGTTTGATTCAGTGCTTTTATTAAACTCCCTCCTTCTGTGCCCAGATGATCATGAAATACTTTTGCACCTGACAACCCCAGAAAGGGAAGCTTCATTTAAAACGCATTTTCTAGGATTTTTAGGTATATGTGGTAGGAAAAATTGTCTTGTTGGTAAACAGCATTTGATAATAACAGGCTTAAAAAGCAATCATAATAATTTTTATTGTGGATGTAAATAAGCAAATAGTTTAATGCATGATGCAATATTGGCAGACCAAAAGAATGGAGTAGAAACATATTTCTGTATTAAACTAAATTGCCTATATGTAAGAGTTTATTTGGTGTTGCGTTTTATAATTAACATGCAATACAAAACAATCTCTTGATTGTAAATGAAACTAAAACTGCTGTCCTTTTGTGCCTACATGAGAGGAAATTATTACTAGCTATCATCTAGGATGCTTCTCATCACACTGAGTGCTCTGAATCTTAACTTTTAAACATGTTTAATTCCTTGATCTTTATTTGCTGATATTTGTGGATTAAAGCATAAGGGTACTATGGGTACTTCACAGAACAAGAAACTGTTGAAGTGAAAACCTGTAAGCAAAGAAGGCACAAGAGAGACCCTTTAGTGGTCTCCATAGTTAGACAACTGATGAAGTGAGGTGGTTTGATCATCCTATTCATATGCATAACCTGTGTAAAAGAAGCGACTACAGTTACAAGAGCAGGGGAATGTAAAGGGAAAAAAATACAAAGTAAAAGTAAAAAGAGGGAAGGAAAATACTCTCTAGACTTGTAACTTTCATGTTTTAATGTGTGGAACTTTAATCTTAATGAAATATTTTGAAAATTTTGAAAACATTTTCTGTAGGAAATAAAACAGTGGCTAAAAATTGTGAGATGCTGAACTGTTTCTCAGAAGTGCAGCACTGCTGCTTTCTCTACCATGCCAGCCCTGTTCCTGGCTGAGCTGTCTGGCACAGTCTGGGGCAGCCTGAAGGTTGGGTCTTGGAGAAAAGCTTTGCCATTGTATTGATATACATCTCTTCATCTGCCCTGTTTGCCAGAAAAACTACCTTAAATGAAAGTAGCCTGGATTTTTTTTTTTCTTTTTTTTAGGGAGATCACACCTTAGTGATCTATGAATCTGCGATGCTTCAAATACAGTTTCTGAGTTGAGTCCATAAAGAGTTCAGAATGTTAGTTTTGTTTAGCTTTGTGCCATTCCTTGGGCCTTCACTGATTTTTTCTGTCAGTGATAATGGGGTTGATAAAGTAGCCATACTCGTGTAGTTACAGGAGTAGAGCAGGAAAGAAGGAAAAGAAGAATGCAAACAAGTCTGATTTGAAGTTTGTGGATGTTCAGAGTGGGTTTCAGTGACTCATAAACTGTTTGTTTATTTTATAGGACTTTCTGCACATACACATATGGAACTTCCTTATTACTCCAAATTTCTTCTAATAGCTGCTTACCTTGCCTCCTACAATCCTGTTAGGACAGATAAGAGGTTCTTTCTTAAGGTAATGAATTTTTTTTTTCTTAGTGCTGCTTACTGGATTCCTGCATACTGAATTTCCTAGTTTAGGGCATTGTTAACTTATTTATACAATTCTAAGCTTCTGAAACAGAAACATACAGTTGCTTTTGCAGAAGATGTGGTTCCAATACCTGGCACATGTTGTGTTGAAATGATAGTAATGCATGTTTTAGGATGAATGTATTAATCCTCACTACCAAATCATGGGCTCTTGCTATGTACAGGTTGAATTTTTTCTTCTTTTTTTCTTTGGGCTCTGTTGTTGTCATGCTCCAAACAAATGCTGTGGTGCCATAGCTTGTCGTCTGTCTTTTTCTTACCCAGGATCTTCATGCTTCTCAAGTCAGCCTCATTGTGTTGTTTTTGAGGTCTTAATTTGACAGGATGTAGGCAGGTGGACAGATACCAGAAAAGTGATTGGGCAATTATGCTTTCTATGCATTTTACCAACTTCAAGGTTTTCTACATTATTGCAATATGAATTAATATATGCATGTGTGTATAAATATATAGTATTTATGACAGATAGGTGTGAACGACTGAAGAAAATGAGAACAAGACAAACTTGTAAAAATGTTAGTTTTCTTTTTCCCTCTTGAAAAAAAACCTGTAGATACAAGTTTTGAGAAGTTACTGCAATTCCTAGTAATGATGTAATAGTATGTTTTTAGTTTAAATATGGGTTTTGTGTTTCTGGTGTGACTTTACCTTGAAAGCTGTAAGTGTTTCACCCTTCTGCCTAGTCCTTTCCTGAGAAGAGTAGAGGATTCCTTGTAGTAAGTGCAGGTTGACAAGTTTTCTTTTCAGGCAACCTTTGTTCTTTTCATTTGGCCAAAGCAATTTCTTTGCAAGAGATGTATTTGCTGAAGAAGTGGTTTTCCGCAGATTTTTCCATGTCAATCTTGGACCTCAAAGAAACAGGAAAGTTTACAAGAGTCAAGTCAGTAAAGTATGTTATTGAAAAGTACCACATCTTTCTTGTTTGTGTTCACCGAACAACCTTCTCAATTTAATTTTTTTCCTTTCTCCTTTTTTAGTATCTCTGAAGTTAGTTTCCACTCCTGCACATGAACCTTACTAAACTTTTGTACAATAAACTTGGGCTTCTAAGGTTTTTGAAGCAGGGATTGTGAAGGTATTTCAATCGGTGATATTAAGTATTTTTCCCAAGAATTGGTGAAGCAGAAGCTACCATTCTTACTACACATGTCATCTGATAGCAGTTAGCCCCTCATCAGGTGCTAAGGCAAATTTCAGAAATAGCTGCATCTCAAAGCCCAACAAAACTAACTCTTTTGTGAGGGTGTTAAAGTTGAGTGTTTTTGCGAGTCATGGGGACTGTGAGAATAGAATATGGTTTTATCAGGTGTGTAGTGAGATTCAGAGTAGATTACAGAAAAAGTACCTCCTGGAGTGATTTAACTAAGGACTGCTAGACAGCAAAAGGGATGCAAACAGAAAGATGGTCATTAAGCTGCTAATCTGCACTACTGGTATAGGTTCTAGGCCACACTACGGCTAAAGATGAAGTCGCAGTTTGTGGCAGCCTGGAATGCTAACAGCCTAGTAAAGCGATGAAGTAATAATTGGCAGCGCTGCTATTAGTTCTGTGAAAATTAAAGAGCTTTGCAATAGATTGAGAGAAAAATATGAAAGATAGTCTTTAAAACAAAAAAAGAATAGCAATCTAGATGAAGTCTTCATTTTATCATTTTAAGAGAAAGCAGGATTAAAAACTAACTGAAAATTAGCCCCAAATTTCATAAGTTTCTCTGTGCTTGCACAGATGTAGGGCACCTGCTCACTTGGTTTGAAACACTTCTGATGTAATTTAAATGCACCATATGGAGATCCCAGCATAACCTTTAAAATGCACGAATGCATTTTGTTGTCATCCATCACTAGCATGCTGTGTAACCTCAGGCTTGACCACTTTCCCTTCCAAAAGGTGTCTGTTATCACTGCAGTCTTCTTTTCAAATACAATAAAAAGATTACTTTGCTGTATCTAAATATGTGTGCTATGTATTAATTGAATGAACTAATTTCTTTTAGTCTGGTGAATTTTTTAAAGGAAACTTCAAGTTCTGTCTAATATTAAGCTCTTCAGAAGTCAGCCAACAGAAGCCACGTTTACTAAGATTGTCTTGACATGGCTGGGTATTAAGGCCCACAAATACCAAGTGCAAGATTTTAAACATTATAATGAAAAAGAATTACTTCATTTGAGGTATTTTTTTCACTGATTCATTGATCGTGCTTGTAAGGTATACTTATTAGTAAGGTGTACTTCTCAAGGCTGTAGAAGAACTCATCAGATGATATTTTGAGAAATAGCACTTAACTATGTTTAAGGAATATTATACTTGTACCTCTCCGCTAATTTTATATCATTTACACACATCATCCTTCATGTCTCTTTGTCTTTTAAAATTTTTTTTACCCCTTCATTTGTAACATCTTGTTTACTATATTTCTGTCCTTGTCTTGCCCTCATGTTTTCAGTTGAGATCCAGGAACACTTGGTTATTTTCTTTGGACAGTTCTTCCTTTCTTAAGGCTGGTTTAAAGTTATGCCTTTTAAAATTATGTTCGTTTCCTCCCCTGCTCCTCCCCTCCTGTTTGTCATTTAGCTCCTGCACCCGGAACTATCTTTGTGTTGTATTGATTTAGTTCTTCGTTGTCATTCTGCCAACTTGCATACCATCCAAATTCTAAAATGGAGCAGATAAAAGGTGAAAATTCAGGTGGATTTTATGCATGGATACATTTAAATAATGAAGTGGCCATCATTTAAACTTCTCTGGAAAGAGCAAGAAACGGAACACCTGCCTTTTTCTTTGGATGATTGAGGGTAGGAAGAGGATGGTGGCATGAAGTCATATTAAAAACAAATTTTTACTGCCTCTTCTCATCAGTCCTCGATTAGATCAGAAAAAAACCCAAACTTATGCATGTCACCAAAAAAAAATACTATTATGTTGGTTTTTGGTTTTGCACCACTTGAGACACAATGAAGCAAGAAGTAAGGCAGGTGCAATTTTAGGGCTTCTGGTAAGAAGGGTTGCTAGTAACATCAGAGACAAATACTGGAGGTGTAGTGTAGACCCAGACTGGTGTACTACCATATGTGGTGTACAGTTCTTTGTTGACTGTTTTGATTCTGTCCTTGATATAGAAGGAATAAACATAAAATAATTTATATATAATATTTGCTCTTGTCTGTTCTTTACAGCATCATGGGAAAATTAGAAAGACCAACTTTATGAAGAAACATGAAAAGGTATGTATTTTATCTTTCTAAGCTGTGTGGCAACAAATATTTTCTTTCTACTGTACTGCTGGTTTCGTATTTTGTTTTGTCTCGTTGTTTACTGAAGAAGCAACAGAATTGTGTAAATAACAATTATTGTTTCATATGACATAAATTTCTGTATGATACACACATTTTTATTTCATTGAAACTTAACTGTAGCATGAATTTGTCTCCTAAAGCCCCATTTGTGTGTATAACAAAATGTGCTGCTTAAAGCTAGTTAAAGGACATCATACATGGAAGAGCTGGATATCAGAATTTCTCTCAAAGATATTAGAATAATAGGTGGTTAGTAGTTCTGAAAGTCAAGTCACTTTAATTCCCAGTGATGCAGTGAGGTATAAGAGCTTAAGTTTGTGTGTTGAGGATTGGAAACTTTGCACTCCTGTCTGTTGTTTAGGATTCCATCAGACTATTAACTGACCTTTTCATGGTTATAAATAGCTAAATATCATTGATTTCAGTGGAGCTATACCAGTTTTTACTGACAGAGGCTTGATATGCTATGAAAAACCAATACCTATATGTATTTTTGTAACTGTAATGTAAAAAGAGAAATCAAATTTTAACATTTGTAACTTGTTGACTTATTTTTAAACAAATCCATAAAGGAAGAGCAGTGCAGACAGCACTAAATAGCTGCCAAAACAATCACTATATCCTTTTCTTCTTTATGCTACAGGCAGTGTAAATGGTATGAGAAAAAATTTAATACGATACTTAGCTTAATAATCCTTTGCTTCTGATCTGCCTATAGCCTTTTCCATAATTTTTCTCCTGTCCTTGTAGGAGGACAGAGTCCTTGGCTATCCAAAGACTTTTTTTCCAAGTCATCTTATTTCTGTAGGGGCACAGTTTTTGCATGCGAAAGTGTAAATGAGCATAGTTTTACTTCAACAGTGCAATGTGTTGCACTGCTAGGTAGATATTTATGTAAATTTAAGAATTCTGAAGTCTCTGAATGCATGTGTCCTGCACACTTAGACCTCGTGTGTTTTGTCCCTGGCACGTGAACTCCTGAGAACTTCCAGATCATTTAATTATTTTCAGGAACTGCTGTGTTCTTGAAATACCTCCATGTCTTAATTAGTTAACAAATAATTTTCAGGAGAAGGAGTAATATTGTATCTTAGACTAAAATGTTGTTCTTTCCTTGTGTCCTCTGTGGGAAAGGTGTTCTGTTTTATTCTTTCTTGGCAATAGATTACCAGCTTGGATGATGAGATGGGAACAACTAGGGAGATGGGAACAGCTAGGAATGTAAAAGAAATGGGAAAATAGAGGTTTGGTCATAGAATCATAGACTCACTAAGGTTGGAAAAGACTTCCAGGATCATCAAGTCCAACCATCAATCCAACGCCACTATGCCTATTAAACCATGTCCCGAAGTGCCGCGTCTACAAGTTTTTTGAACACTCCCAGGGATGGTGAATCCACCACCTCTCTGGGCAGCCTGTTCCAGTGCTTGACCACTCTTTCAGTAAAGAATTCTTTCCTAATGTCCAATCTAAACCTCCCCTGGTGCAACTTGAGGCTGTTTCCTCTCGTCCTATCACTTGTTACTTGGGAGAAGAGACCAACACCCACCTCACTACGCTGTCCTGTCAGGCAGTTGTGGAGGGCAGTAAGGTCTCAGCCTCAGCCTCAGCCTCCTCTTCTCCAGGCTAAACAACCCCAGTTCCCTCAGCCGCTCCTCAAAGGACTTGTGCTCCAGACCACTCATCAGCTTTGTTGCTCTCCTCTGGACATGTTCCAGCATGTTAATGTCTTTCTTGTAGTGAGGGGCCCAAAACTGAACACAGTATTTGAGGTGCGGCCTCACCAGTGCTGAGTACAAGGGGTTGATCACTTCCCTACTCCTGCTGGCCACGCTATTGCTGATACAAGCCAGGATGCTGATGAAGAAATATCGAGGTCGTGATCACCTTGACTGTACCATAGAGCTTGTTCTCTTGTGTCATTGTTTCTGTTAAATAGACTTGTATCTGAGTTCACTACTTTGTGTGTAGAAGTGCCTGCATTAATGATAAATTGGTTTTCATTTTATTATTGTTCCTGCAGCAAACCAAATGCTACTGAGTAGGTACAAAAACAGAACAGAAGGAGGTACTAAGGAAAGAACTGTAAATGAGGGTAACTCAAACAAATGTAAACAAATGCAATGTAAACAAAATGAATGGTCAAAAAGATGAGTAAGATTCAATTATTTTTTTAACTTTAATTAGATTAATTCTGATTTTATAGACTTTACGTTTGCCCTACAACCTAAGCATCGAACTGATATTCTGAAAGCATAATTAGACATGTGCAGTTAGAATCATAGAATCATAGAATGTTTTGGGTTGGAAGGGACCCCTAGAGGTCATCTAGTCCAACCCCCCTGCAGGGAGCAGGGACACCGCAAACTAGATCAGGTTGCTCAGAGCCCCGTCCAACCTGGCCTTGAATGTTTCCTGAAAGGCCGCAATCAGGTCTCCCCGCAGCCTTCTTTTCTCTAGACTGAACAAGCCCAACTCTCTCAGCCTGTCCTCATAGGAGAGGTGCTCCAGCCCTCGGATCATTTTAGTAGCCCTCTTCTGGACCCGCTCCAACACTTCCATGTCCTTCTTGTGCTGAGGGCTCCAGAGCTGGACGCAGTACTCTAGGTGAGGTCTCACCAGAGCTGAGTAGAGGGGCAGAATTACCTCCCTCGACCTGCTGGCCACGCTCCTCCTGATGCAGCCCAGAGTACGGTTGGCCTTCTGGGCTGCCAGGGCACATTGCCGGCTCATGTCCAGCTTTTTATCCACCAGCACCCCCAAGTCCCTCTCGGCAGGGCTGCTCTCAATCCTTTCTCCCCCCAGGCTGTATTGATACTGGGGGTTACCCCATCCCAGGTGCAGGACCTTGCACTTGGCCTTGTTGAACCTCATGAGGTTCACACAGGCCCACCTCTCCAGCCTGTCCAGGTCCCTCTGGATGACATCCCGGCCTTCTGGTGTGTCAACCGCACCACTCAGCTTGGTGTCATCTGCAAACTTGCTGAGGGTGCACTCTATCTCACTGTCCAAGTCATTGATGAAGATGTTGAACAGCACCGGTCCTAGTACGGACCCCTGAGGGACACCACTTGTCACCGGTCTCCATCCGGACATTGTGCCGTTGACCACTACCCTCTGGACACGACCATCCAGCCAGTTCCTTATCCACCGAACAGTCCACCCATCAAATCCATAGCTTTCCAATTTAGAGAGAAGGATGTTGTGGGGGACCGTGTCAAAGGCCTTGCAGAAGTCCAGATAGATGACGTCTGTTGGTTGTCCCTTGTCCACTGATGCTGTCACTCCATCATAGAAAGTCACCAGGTTTGTCAGGCAGGACTTGCCCTTGGTGAAGCCATGCTGGCTATCTCGAATTATCTCCCTGGCCTCCATGTGCCTTAGCATAGCTTCTAGGAGGATCTGTTCCATGATCTTCCCAGGCACAGAGGTGAGGCTGACAGGTCGGTAGTTCCTGGGGTCCTCCTTTCTACCCTTTTTGAAAATGGGCACAATGTTTCCCTTTTTCCAGTCACCAGGGACTTCACCTGACTGCCATGACTTTTCAAATATCATGGAGGGTGGCTTGGCAACTACATCGGCCAATTCCCTCAGGGCTCTGGGATCCATCTCACCAGGTCCCATGGACTTACGTGCATTCAGTTGAAGAAGCTTGGTTTGTTGTTCAGCTGTAACAAATAACTTGCATAATCAGGAAAGACTTCTAAGACTGCAAATGATCTAATTCTTACACCTCTTTGTTGTATTAAAAATTAGTGTTACTTTGAAGAGAATTAGAACTTCATAATCCTGCTAAATCAAATATAGTTAACAGAAAATAGCTCTTGAGTTCACAGTGTTACATTAAACTCTGATTGCATGCAAGAAACAGGAGCATGTCTTAGGGATTAACGATTAGGAAGGGAGCTTTTTGGCATTTCAGGAGTACCTTTGCTTCTAGTTTCAGAGCACTGGTTCTCTGCTTATGTGTGTCGCTTTATAGTATACAGGTAAGGACCCTTTTGCTATAAGTATTGATGCCAGAAACTGAAACTGCTTATAGGTCAGAGCACAGTCTGGTTTTGAAAGTTTTTGAGGCCTGGTAGCTGTGAAAGTTTTTGAGGCCTGGTAGCTGTGATAGTGGGAAATGGGATGGCAGATCTTCCAGACCTACGTTCCTTTTACTATACTGTAGCCTTTATAAATATTTGCACAGAGATACAATCACCCACATGTTAAATTGTATGTTTTGGTATATAGTGAGGGAAACTGAAATATAGGAATAAAGGATTACATATGTAGTGTATAAATAAAGGCTCATTTGCTTCAGTTGTTATGACAGCTTATATCAATATACGTTCCCTCAGAGAAGCTTGTCTAAAGACTGATTTACAGATCAGATTCACCTAACTCCAAGTGGGTGCCTACATCTAAGCTAGTGTCTTTTTATAGGCAGTGCAGCGCCAGTCAATGCAGTCATTGGAGTGTAGGGTGTGATTCGTCTCGCACTAAAGTAGGCTCTGTGTTCAGTCAGATGAATTGCACCATAAACTGTATTGATTAGATTTCTACTGGCTGTAATGGTGTCGTGGTTTTACCCCATCAGCAGCTGAGCACCATACAGCCGCTCACTCACCCTCCCCAGCCCCCAGTGGTATGGGGGAGAGAATTGGAAAAAAAAAGTAAAACCCGTGGGTTGAGATAAAGACAGTTTAATAGTGCGGAAAAGGAAGATAAAATAATAATAATGATAAAAGAATATACAAAACAAGTAATGCACAATGCAATTGCTCACCACCTGCTGACCGATGCCTAGCCTGCCCCTGAGCAGAAATCGCTGCTTCCCAGCCAACTTCCCCAGTTTATATACTGAGCATGACGTCATATGGTATGGAATAGCCCTTTGGCCAGTTGGGGTCAGCTGTCCTGGCTGTGCCCACTCCAAGCTTCTTGTGCATGAGGAAGCTGAAAAGTCCTTGACTAGTATAAGCACTGCTTAGCAACAACTAAAACATCAGGGTGTTATCAACATTCTTCTCATACTAATCCAAAATAGAACGCTATGCCAGCAGCTAGGAAGAAAAGTAACTCTATTCCAGCCAAAACCAGGACAAATGGGAACTTATGAAACTAGTTTGGCTGTACATACCTACTTGGTAGGAAGCTAACATTAGATGAAATAAAGCCTTCCTTAAGTTTAAGTGCACCCAGGCTAAAAATCTGTTTCTTTATTCTTAACTCTGTTCAGTTAAGGGGCTGTGGGGTTTTAATTACAAAAAGTAAATCTTGTGAATGAGGGGAACAAATTTACTTTTATCATTCTATGAATTGCCTTATTGCTGATAACAGCAGGATTTGTTGGGTTTCTTTGCACGGTTGCCCTGGAACAATGTTTTTCCAGTTTAGTGACAAGTGAGAGATCTTCCTGGTGAAGCTACTTTTGCAGGAATATGCTTTTTCAGATGTCAGTCTGTCAGAAGATCAAAGGTGTTGGTGTGTTTTTTTACTGGAAAAGAGTTTGTCTGGTATATCTGCTTCAGCTTCAGTCTAGGATTTGTTTTGTATCAGATTTTCTAGCTTACAACTGAAGATGCTTCATTCGTATAGCTATCAGGGAAGTTCAGAAATGCTTTCTGCTAAAGAAAAGTGAGAAGTATAGTTCTGTCTTTAAAGTACATGCTAAAAAGGTTGAAAATTCAGCCAACTGAGGTTAAGGACTTTCCCCCTTTTGTGCAGGTAGTTTAGACTGGGTGAAGCTTTTACTCTTTAAAGAACGCTTTTGGTTCTCATTCTTGTTTGTGAAATTTTGGAACATGAAACTCTGACACCGTAGATGAAAAGCACAAGTACAGATGGTGGTAACTGGGGAAAAGTCTTTTTTGAACTATTTGACGAGTGTATTGCCAAGTTGGGAAGATGGCAGAGGTCACACAGAGTTAATTTGATGGCTATAAAACTTTTGAAGAGGTTTTCTGAATGTGGAAGGTGTCTGTTTTTAAGTGAGATGAGGGGTCTCTTGGATTTTTATAAATACTATACTATGTAGTATTCTGCCCTTCGCTCCTTGCAGAAGATTTATAAAAATCTTATTCTCTACTGTGTTCTGTTTGGAGGAATTTCTAAACCATTCCTATTTATCCTGGATTTTATTTCTGTCAAAGAAATAAAAATGAAGTGCTGCTTCTAGAAGTTACACTCTATTAGAATTAACTCTGCTGGCTTTTCCAGAAGAAAGCATTTCTCTCAAATAATTTGAAAATTCAGAACAGTTTTCTGTCTAAGCAGAGAGCTGATAATATTAAGAGCAAGAAACTTGTGAAGTAACTGTATACTAAACCTCAGGGATTACTACATGCTAATTGAGCTTGCTAGCTGCTTGGAGGGCACACATTTTAACCACTGTATGTTTATTGACTTCTTCTGTTGATAGTAAGGCATATGCTTCACAGAACTGCTGTGTTTTAGAAGCAGAAGGGCAGGGGATTGTACAGTTTTACACCGTACATTTTACACCATAGAATTTACATCATATGTGCATTCTGACTGAGGGTGCCGTGCTGAAGTTTTAACTACGTCTCCCATTATTTTTCATACTGCTTTCCTTGTTAGCCAAGAGGTAGCTTTGGGGACACCTCCTGGATTTGAAAAGCTAAAACAGATATTGGAAATACCTTTTTGTTTTGCTGAAGAAATGAGTGGTTGTGTTTTACTGATGATTAATACCACAGAGGTGCTGGTGGTGTATTTGAGAGGTGTTCTTTCCCAGAAGCATTTTGAAACAAACTTTCTTTTGAAATTCCTCTTTAATCTTGGCTGCTCTGCTAGTAAGAATAAATCAGTGTACACTACAGAAAAGGAAACTGGGTGTCAAAATAGAGAGAATGAAAAACAAACTTAAAAGGAAACAACTATTTCCTTTGTTAGAACTTTTGAAAGTCTGGGTCATAAATATATCTCTGTAGTCCTAACAATGCTGCCTGAGCTGTAATACTACCCTGTTCTGCCCTGTGAACTGTACTTTTCCTTTTTGTAAGACTGGTTATTAAAAAGATTTAACATTCTAAAATCAGGAACCTCCTATTTCTGTGAATTCAGTTGAGTTCAGTGTTACTACATACAATAACCTGTAATGCCTAAAATGTCAGTCAGTGTCAGCTGAGGTGTGAAGGTGATATGTGGTGCAAAGAAGGGTAAGGAACAGAGTAACTCTGTAAATGCAAAGTTGAATAAATAAGCTGTGTTCTGGTAAGACAGTTTGTCTGTAGCTGTCTGGTAGCTCTTATAGAGCAGCTCTTACCAGCAAAGGAGCTGACCTTGGGCTCAGCCAGCTGAATTTATTTTAGCCAGCTAAACTCATGGGAGACAGATGCACGCCGGGCCCTCACTGTCAGCACTCTTTGGGCTGCGTCTTGAATACTCTGTCCAGTTTTGCTCATCTCCAATACAAGACACACATCAATAAACTGGAAAAAGTTCAGCAGAAAGGTATCAAAATGGTCAGAGGCTGGAGCACTTGTCCTGCAAGGAGAGGCTGAGGGAACTGCAGTTGTTAAAGCTGAAAAAGGGAGGCCTAAAGGCAGCCTGTCCTCTACCTGCAAGGAGATCATCAAGACTGTATGATACAGTGGTGGATGCTGAGAGTGTGAGAAACAATGAGTGTAAGCTGAAATGAGGTGTATATACTGGATATAAGGAATATACTGCATATAAGGAAAACCTTTTTCCTTACAAGGATGGCCAGGCAGTGACACTGTTTTCCCAATGAGGTGGTGCAGTCTCTGTCCTTGGAGATTTCCAAGACTGGACTGGTAAAGTCCCGAGCAACCTGGCCTGACCTCCTGGCTAACCCTGCTCTGAGCAGGAGGTGTTTGACTAGATACCTCCTAAGGTCCCTTCCAGCTGGAATTATCCTATGAGTGAGTGTATTTTAGGAAAGTAGGAATATAGTGGTAAAGGCGTTTCCTCTGTGAAAGAGTAAGTTGAAGTGTTCTTATTTCTAATTTCCTGATCAAAATGTTTTCTTTGGTCTTGGTATCAAAATGGTAACGTTTTCATTGTGGTATAAAGGAAGCAAAAGAGGAAATGGAAACTAAGAAGTTAAAATCGGCCAACAATATGAAAAAATCAGCATTTTTGTTGGAAAACAATGAGCAGTTAATACATTTTATTCCTGCAGAAATAGTTTTGGGTGGTGTTTTTTTTTCAGTTAGTTTTAGGAAGTAAAATTCATGGAAGAGTTGAGGTGGGCAAGGACCTCTGGTGTAGTCTAACCCCCCCTGCTCAAGCAGGGTCATCTAGTGCAGGTTACTCAGGACCATGCCCAGTTGGGTTTTGAGGATCTCCAAGGATGGAGACTCCACAACCTGCCTTGGGCAATAAGTTGTAGTGTTAAACTGCACTCAGGTGTAAAAAAAGGGTTTTTTTTTCCTATGTTTAGATATAATTTCCTGTATTACAATTGGTGCCCATTGCCAAATTATTCTACTGACATTCTAGACCATACTGTTGTTTATTAGAGTAGTTTAGTGTGGCGTTTAAGATGGAACTTTTGTTATGACTTTGCACCTCTGTGAAAGAGAAAAGGCTTTGGATGTAATGATTCAAAGAGAGTGGATACATTGATACTTTAGCAGAATCCTCTCTTTTCATGCTTTTTTAAAATGCAAATGCTAGTAAAATATTTGTCTTCAGTAAGCAAAACACACAAAAATATACTTAAAAGTTGTTCAATGGTTTTATAGATTTTTAAAAACTATTGTTATGTGCAGTTCTTTGTAGGTGATCGTGGATTATAGACTGACTGTAGACAACAGAATAAATCTAAACCTTTAAATTTTTTCACTAGCTAGAAATTCTGTGTGCTTTTAAGAAGCCTAACTTGTCTTACTGTTGATAAACTGTGAAGAAGACTGTGCCCCTTGAGAATGCCATAAAATGTAGTCTTTCCTCTCTAATCCTTAGATTGGGCAAGATAATTTAATAGGACAAGTAAATCTATAAATCTAGTGACAGGAAATTTGGCATCAGATCCTCTGTTATAGCTCAAAAATGTTCTTATTTGTTGCGCAGTTTGAACTTTTGCCATGTTAAACAGAGTTCTGTGTCTATATCTTGATGAATAAGCATGTATTCAGTGTTTTCCATAGTATATAAGTAGGTTGTATGAAAGACTACTGTGAATTATAGTGTCTCCCCAGAGACTAAAAAGATGTGAGAATAACATCTTGTGGTTGATCAGGAAAAATCATTGGATTGAAAAGTGTCATTTCTGTTGCAGACCAGCAATCACCTCCTTGGGCCAAAGCCATTTCCCTTGGACAGATTGTTAGCAATATTATATAGTATTGTGGACAACAGAGTTGCTCCAACTGCAAACATATTTTCCCAGGTGAGTGTGTATTTACTTTCTTTCTTTCCTTTTTACTCTCTGGAGTTTTTGAAAAGGTTTTGCATTGTTTTTTGTAAGTCATGATTCTAATTAAATGTAATGAGAAAACAACTACAATGGTAATTTAAGTTGAAGGCTCAGAGTGATATTTATCTGTATTACTAGCTGTGAATTCAAGACTTTTTCTGTGTAATGGTCTGAAAGCTTCTAATAGCTAACTTTTTCCTGGTCCCAGACTGTGGTCTGTGTGGATTTGTTCCTTGGCTTCTCGTTGAAGTTTGTTAGCCTGTTTGTATTTCAAGTTAAGCGTATAGATGTTCACTGTCCTATGGCCAAAATGAAGTCACCTTGTAACACGTTAGAAAAATGTAGTGCTGCAGAATGAGCAGAGGGAAGAATAAGGTATTTGCAGGTGAAAGGTGTTTGCTGTGATACATGTATCTTAGGGATAATGTTTTTCTTTTGGACCAACTTTAAGTCTTGCAGAGGAGAGGCACTATCCCGTTTCACTAGGTGGCAGCATAACTATAGAGTTGAGTGGAATTAAGCAAATCTAGAGTTTTCTCTAGAGCTCCAGGTTTGTCAAGTGTAAATACCTACTCTGTATAAGTAGAGATAGTTTTCTGTTGTCAACTTGATTCTTGGATCTTTCATGTCCACCTTAGAATATCTCGATTTCTTTCCTGCTTTACAGTTGTGCTTAACTTACAGAAATATTTTCTACCTTTCCTTGTTAGGTCTCAGATTTAACCATGGATTATTTTAATCTGATGTCTGTGTTCATGTAAAGTTCTTGGAAACATGTGCACAAGATACCTAAACAATTTTGCTGCTGCTTTAGTAATTTCTGTTCTGTGTTCACACAAACAAAAATTTGGCAAAATTAATCTCCCAACTTTGTAGAATAACCAACCATAAATATACATAGTGTGAAATCAGGAAGTAGATGAGCTAGAGAATTATAGTACTTTATTTAGTCAGTGGTATGTGTATATCTTTGTTAATAGTGGTGGGGTCCCAGGTGCTTTACAGATGCAGTAGGCAACTTACGCCTTCACATAATGTTTTCTCTCGAGCTCCTTTAGTTAAAGGTTATTATGTGATCTGAGGCACGAGAAATTATTAGACGACAACCTCAAAAATCTGTTAATATAAGCATTTACTTTTTGGTAATTAGTTCAGTGAGATTTCAGCTTACAGTCTACACACATGGAGAGGTGACTGCATTAGATTTCAGAGGTGTTCAGGAAGTGGCTGAAAAAATGTTTAGACGTGTTTATGCATCCTGTCCTTATTTCTTGCCTTTCTTCTGTCATCTCACGGCACCCCAGGAATTCACTGTGCTTTCAGAAGGAACCCTAATGCTGTGAGTATTTCAAAGCTGCACGAGGTTTCCTATAGGCAAATGCCGTATGAATGGACATCAAAGGTTGTTGTAGCAGGCAGTTTCTGACCAGACTTTGGATGGTGGCTGCAGCCTTGCAGCTACTTATAGCAACTTTGGAGTACAAAGAACATAGGGACCTTAGTGTTCATAAAAATGCATAAATTTGGCCAGCTATATCTAGTCACTACTTTTTTTTTCTGGCTAGTGTCAGATGTAGCCTGACATAATTGCTTTTTTATGAATGTTGTGTTGATTATTTAATTCAGTGTACTGTGAAGTCTGTTATCGAGTCTATCAGTCAAGGTATTGGTCACACCCCTATCATAACAGGATGCTGGTTTTGTGTTTTGCTCTAGGTAGTGCATTTTTTGATTAAGACACAAAGTGTTAAAGCTGAAACTCTGAATGCTGAGGCAAAAGGCGGTTGTCTTGTTTATGACGTTAGTTTATCAACAATGATTGATCTAGGTTTAGTTCAGTAAGAAATTGGAGTCTTATGAGACTGTTATACAAACTCAGAAGAAAATAAGATGCAATCCAAGTAATGTTCAGACTGTTTCCCTTGCTCTAAATCTACTGATGATCCACCACATAGGTGCTTCTTGTTTTAAGCCTTTGTTTCTTTCTCTCTGCCTTCCTTCCTTCAAGCTTTTGAAGACACTGTCACTGTGATCTTTCAACAAAATTTGATTTTTAAAATGGGAAGAGTGCAATTTTTAAGGCATACGATGAAAGAACAGGCAAGAAGCAAAACAATCGACTGTCCAACTGCAACTATGAAATTTAGCACTTTGCCTGAACTTTTCTGGTCTCAAGGCGCAAATTTCAGTTTAATTTGTTCAAGTGATGTGAAAGGGAATAACGATGACAAGACTGGGAGCACTACGTAGTCAAATTTGTGTGTAGGATGCTAGCTGTATATTCTCTTATTTTTGACTATCAAAAACATCTTGGTATACTTAAGACGTGAATGGATTATATAACAAAGAGTTTCACAGTATATTTTCAAAATTAATATGTCTGCCTATTTAACATGCATTCCAGATGAGCGAAAAAGTGTCATTATTCCAGTGCACAATTAAGTAGTACTGAAGACGGAGTCTGTACATGGAGTGTAATTGCTCTTAGACTGAATTGCAGATTGAAATAATGAAATAAATGCTTCATCCTAATATGGAGTGTACACTAGATGGCAGTGTTGTCAAAGAATAGCTGTAATTCTTGATTTTTCTGAATATATGCAGATTAAGCTATAAAGATATAAAAATATTGTGTTAAATCTTAACTGGGTTAGGGCAAAGAAGTTGAAATTCAATCTGTTTATACAAAAATAAAATGTTTCAATTTTTTAAAAATATTTTTAATTATGGAAACAATTTTTCCATTAAATTTTGATTAAGTATTCTTGAAATGTCTAATGTAAAGTAACATAAAATAAAACAGATTTTGGAAGTAGTTTAATCTAGGCATAATATTTAATTGTTTTTTTTCTTGAATAGCATAAAACAATTTATATTCCGCTGATTTTTGCCATTAGCTATTCTTGTGAATACATTTTTCAAATAAAGTAAATATTTAGGAGTTGAGTTATCCTTAGCAGTAGCAATACATTTTACTGTTAGATACCGTGAGCTTTTATTTTCTTGTTTGTGTGTACAGCATGGAAATAATTCTTGATTTCTGGAGAAATTTAAAATATTTTAAATCAAATATTTGGCTTCTTAACTGATTCAACATTAATTTTATGTGCTCTTTAATTTGTAAACTGAAAGGCTGTAGATGAACCAAATACTTATTAATTCTCCCCATGTACTGTCAGAAAACAGCATGCCTTGGCTTTAAAGTTGATCAACAGTCTCAGTCAAGATTCAAGAAGGACTAGCAGCTGCTTAGGATCTGCCATGTTGCTGATTTCATGGTATTTCTTATTGCTGCTTGTTTCTGTGCATAATTTCTATTCACATGAAAATTCTGGTTATTAGCTTCTCAAATATGAAACTTTTGTGCGAAGAAGCAGCAAAATTTCAATTTTCTCTTTAATGCTAGGGTTTATTGAAAATGTTTCACTTTTACTAAATAGAATTTCAACTTAAAATTTGAATCTTAATCTAACTTTTGCCTTTTAATGTTAATTCATCCTTAAAATGGTTTCATGCTTTTTTCAAACAAAAAGATAACGCCTTCCTTTCAGAAGCATGATCTTTGCAACTGATATGAGACCAAGTTTTTCCTGCTGTAACTGGGTTACATGAGAAAGAATTGTGCTCATTCATTTTATTTTTCCTCACTAACTAGTACAGGGCAGTAGCACCAGGGGAGAAAAACAAACCTGCAAATTTCTACTTCTGAAAAATGAAGATTCTTTCAGTTACCCTCTTAAAAGTTGAAATTTCTCTTGGTTTTGTGCTATTTTTAAATATTTTTCCACATGTGAGGATTGTTTGAGAGGAAGTTAAAGTAAGATTTTTAGATTTTATTTTAGAATATTGAGATCAGTACATATGTGAATATAGGTCTATATTTGCTTGAGAAGTATTCAGTGCTCCTTTTCCTCCAGAATATTCACTGGTTTTTTAGTAGTTCTAATTTGCCGTGATACTGTTTTTTAACACATTGTGTGTTACTGTAACATGTCACTGCATTTGTTTCTTTGAATTTATTTGCTTTTTTTTTTAAACCAAGAGATAACAGAGGTTAAAGCACTGTTGATTTCTGCAACCATTTCAGAGGACAAGATCTTTAAATGTTTTTTTTCAGATGCGCTTCTGTGGATTAATTTAACAGATTGAAGATGATATTGCCGCCACCACCACTGGGCAGTTACGTTCTGTGCCTGGGACAGAACTCACACAGTTGATGTTCTGGTTGGATATACAGCTAGGGCGAGCATGTGGCTGAAGTATTTTAAAAGATAAAACATTCTTTTTAATGGTGAAAAACGCAAATGTACTTTCACACAATGCTAAAAACATTGCAACTATGGGGTATGCAGTCTGCATCCTACAACAGTAGATAAGTCATAGGATTCCCTTACCTAGATGCAGCAGTTGATGCTTTTTCAGGCTTGGGAACTACCAGGAGTATAATTTGTGTGTCCCCGTGGATCCACTGTGCAGAATATGAAATGTGCGTTGTGTCCAAGTGCAATTATGACAGAAAGGAGGGATACAAAGAAATCTTATAATGCCTACTGCAAGTGCATTTTCGCAAAGGTTCTGAGAGTCTGCTCAGTTCTGGTTTGTAGAAGAGCAGTATTTCATTTTAGGTTTCCCACATTTAGGCAGAAATACAACATTTTCTTTATAAAAATATGCCTTAGTATAGGACACGAGTGAATTTATGCACAAAACGTTGTACAAGAATTACCAGCACCGACTGCAATTAAATCAGCTCACTTTACATTGAAGGGGACAAGGGCTGTTCATTTCATATCGCAACCAGTAAGCAAGTATATATTTTTGTTGTTATGGTTTATGTTACAGTTTACAAGCCAAAATCAACCAATACTTTTTCCTCTACTAAAATGATTTTTCAATTGCTTCTTCAAATCAATTCAGTTCTCCTAACCATTTTTAATTTTCTAGACATTTTATCTTGCTTCTGCTTTCTTGTG